TGTGTGTGTGCATGCCCATGTGGATGTGTGTGGGCATGTGTACCACAGAGTGCTTGTAGAAGAGTTCTCTTTTGCTACCATGTGGGTCCTGGGGATTGAACTGGGGTCATGAGGCTTGGTGGCAAGCCCCTTTACCTGCTGAGCTAGCTCACTGGTCCATGTCTTTATTATAGTAGCAACTCCTTATTTTAAAGACATTACATACACTATTAAGTGTATTGAACATTAGTGATTTGTTTGAAATTATGATCATATATGCATATATTAGACTTTGAATGTAGAACTTAAAATCAAACTGATTGAAGTATAGTTCCCCATATCCACTTCAGGGCTGGAAGTGAGACCCAGAGCCTGGTATCTGATAAGCAATACTCTGTGCTGTCTCTCCAGCTGTCCTCCTCCCCAGCTGCTGTATTTAATCATGAAAATTAGACCTTTAGGCTGCTAAGTTTTCTATACTAAATGGAAGTAAAACCAATTTTAGTCAAAACTAGTTCCCATTCATTGGTTCCATACTTACTGCACATCTTGCTGTGCACTGGGAACCTGACATTAAAAACATGGATAAAAGGCCTGGGCTTGTAGTTCAGTGGTAGAGTGCTTGCCCAGATATGTAAGACCCTGGATTCCATGCCAGGGGCCACAATCAAATCAGAACCATGGATAAGGTACAGAATTTGCAGCAAGTTGTTCTTGCAGACTAACTTGATTCCCCACACCCTCCTTTATTTAATTTGTTGCTACAGTCTCAAAGTTGTTTTTTCTTACGTTTACTTTTTTTTTTGTATGTGTATGATGTAGTACGTGTGTGTTTGCATATGTATGGGTCCACATGTGTAAGTGGGTGTTCATGCACGTGTCTATGGCAGTGCAGAGAAGTCAGATAGATGTCTTCTCAGTTGCTCTCCACCTGGTATAATGAGCCAGTGTCTCTTGGTGAACCTGGAGCTTGTTATTTCAGTTAGTTTAGCCAGCTTGCCCCAGGGGTCCCCTACTCTCTGCTTCTTGAGTGCTGGGATTACATGGGGGGAGGGGTGGCAATGATGACACAGCCACTGTTCCTTTATATAGGTGCTGGACCCACCCTGTCCTCTTTGTTTGCATGGCAAGGGCTTTAACCTCTCAGCCACCTCCCTAGTCCCAAGTTGATTTTTTTTTTTCAGTCTTTTTTGTAGCCCTAGCTGGCCTAGAACTCACTATGTAACTCACAGAGATCCACCTGCCTCTGCCTCCCAAGTGCTGGCATTAAAGGTGTGTGCCACCACACCCGGCTCCAAGTTGATTTTTTTAAAATTAATTAATTTATTTTATTTTATGTGTGTGTATTGCCTGCATGTAGGTAAGTGCACCCGTGTCGTGCAATGCCCACAGAGGACAGAAGAGACTGTCGGATCCTCTGGAACTGGAGTTACAGACAGTTGTTAGCTGCCATATGGGTGCTGGGATTTGAACCCGGGTCTTCTACAAGAACAGTCAGTGTTCTTAACCGCTGAGCCATCTCTCCAGTCCCCCAAGTTGATATTTTATACTAGGAAATAGCTTTGTAGTTACAGCTGTTAACTTGATAGTTTTAAACTTATTTCTTGTTAATATGATTTTCAGAAGTATTTAAAACAAAGATCAAAATGTGAATATATTGCCTTTGTTATTCTTTATTTACATGTACATATTTTAACACATTTTCTGTCTTGACTTATGTGCCATTTTTCATTTTTTTCTATTTGTTTCACAGCTTTAAGGTTTTATCTTTAACAATATGTAACTATTTGTGTGAAACTACCTCTACCTTTTTTTTTCTTTTCCAAATCAAAAGTTTGAAAAAATACATTTCCCCTATGCCTTTTGTTGATCTTGTCATTTACGCGTTTTTCTTTCTCAATGCTTTATCATAAAAGTTTTCAGCCACACAGAAAAACTGAAAAAAGTTATGCAGTGAACACACTGACCCTGCTGTCTAGATCCATCATTCTGTCTTTTGTTGTTGCAGAAATAAGGCAGATACCAGTAAATTTCAACCTTATTTCAGCTTCACTCCATGAACTGAGTTTAAGATTTTTTCTTTCGAGGTAAAAATGGCATGGAACAAT